TTCGAGACCGCCTGCCCCCCCCGGTACCCCCGTCCCCACCACTCCCGACCCACCCCACGCTCCGCCCCCTCTCCCCCCCCCCCCCCAGCCCCAGCCCCACCTGGCGATCTCGTCCCAGGTCCGCTTGAGCCGGTGCACGGGGCTGGACTGCAGGGCGGAGATGATGGCGCAGAGAGATGAGAAGTTCCTCAGGGCGCGGCACTCCTGGGGGCACAGCGGTGGGGGTCACAGGGGGCCAGCTGCAGGGCAGGGGCTGGGCTGGCTCGGGGGTGAGAGGTCGGGGGGGCCTGGCTGGTACTGGGGGCAGAGCTGAGGTCAGAGGTTGCTCTCACTTCCACCGTTTGGATCCTTTTCCCATGAGCCGGGGGCCCATTGCTGGGGGGGGCGGGGATGGCCCAGGCTGGGGGCCCGACAGTGTGGCGACCCCAACCCCAGGGGGCTGAGCTCCGACCCCACACTCACCTCCGCAACGTGGATCCATTTCTCCAGGATCCGGGCCCGCTGCTGGGGGCGCAGCCCCGGTCCTGCCAGGCAGGAGCGGATCACGGCCCCCGCCAGACGGTTGAATTGGCGCACCGTGGCACGGACGCTGGGGCAGTCCCGCTCCCGCCCCTTCTTGTCACGCTGAGACCAGAGCGAGCCCAGGCACTGGTAGGGCACGACCCGCAGGAACAGTGCCTGGGGGGGGCAGGGGTTAATGGGGCGCTGCTCCCTGACCCCCCCACCCATCACCCCTGGGAACAGCGCCGGGGGGGGCAGGAGTTAATGGGAGGCTGCACCCCAATCCCTTCCACCTACCGCCCCTGGGAACAGCACCTGGGGGGCAGGGGTTAATGGGGGGCTGCTGCCCGCCCCCCCGCCCCTGGGAACAGCACCTGGGGGGGCAGGGGTTAATGGGGGGCTGCACCCCGACCCCCACCCACTGCCTGGGGTGTCCCTTACCCCTCACTTACGTAGAGGAACAACTCCTGGGGTGTCCTGCTCCCCCAAACCCTGTAACCTAAACACTGAGTCCCCGCCCCCGTTACCTACCCCCCCGCAAATACCCTGATGTGGGGGCTCCTGGGCTACAGCCCCCCCACACTCACCGCCTCCACCAGCGTCAGCTGAGCAGCCACCTGGTCAGCTTGGAAAATCAGGATGTCGAGGGGGTCAGGGTCCCCCCTGGGGGTCACACCCCCCTCGGGGCCATCTTCCCCTGCCCCCCATTCCTCTTCCTCCAGCTCCCCTGCAAGGGGGGGGGCAGTGTTAGACCCAG